GAGCTGAAGAAGGATTTCCGGACTTTCTTGAGAGATGTCTCGATTCTAAAGATGGACAGTCCGGATACACCTACCGTGGATGGGGTCAAGGTTGCTCCTAAGAACAAGCCGGCAATCATCGCAGGGCGACCAAGTACTGCGCTGCGTGGGAATATCCTTGAGGCAATACATCTTGCTTCTGCCCACCTTGCATACGATCATATTGACCGTGATATGGTCCATACGGGTACCTCGATCATCGTCATCACTCCAGGAAGCGGTGTCTTTGAAGTGTCTTATGAATCTTTGTCCTCTACCTCAGAAGCACTCGCGGATCGTGGCATTGCCATTGACCTGGTCTGCCTCAGCCCCATGCCTCTGCATTCCGTGCCCCTGTTCAAGTACAAAGCGCCTGTGGAAAGATCCGGTAGCTCTTCGTTTGGCGACTTTCACAGCAGCGGTTATTCGCCTGAGATGCGCCAGTCGTTCAGCTTTGCGAGTCGGACTCCCCATCTATCACCAAAATCTACCATGCAAGGCTCGTTTCCAGGAATGACACACAAGGAACATCTTTCCGCTCGCTCAAACGAGTGGAACTACGGCATACCTCACTGGCTTGATATCTCATACTGGAATCCAGAGACATACAGAGAAGCTCGGCGCATTGCGAAGAAAGACCCCAACGCGCCGATTCCTTTCACCGTCACTAAACAGTCCAAGCTTTTTGTGCCGCGGGTCCGAATGTACGAAATCCAAATGATGGGGGTGATGGAGAGCGAGCAGTCGGACATCTCGATTCCTTATCTATTGGAGGGCCAGGGCGTTTCCCGCACCTCAAATGCTGGTCTCGGTTTGAGCCCAAGTGGTCTTTCGTCGTCTAGGGCTTCCTTCAGACGCAATTCGTCCTACAAAGCTCAGTTGAGCGACAGCCTGCGGCCCGAACCTTTTCTACAGAGTATCACAAACCCCAAAGATGTGATGCTGGCCAAGTCGAAGAAAACGCCCAACCAGGTGATTGCCTGGATGGACCAGTATGACGAGGCGGTCTTCCAGCCTTTTGCCAAACGGCGACAGCAGCGCAAGGCTTCCAGACCAAAGCGGCCGAGCGAACCTGAGGTTCAAGTTTCCAACGCGCATGAGCGGCTTTCCGCACGGTCAGTGTTACGTCTGAGAGAGCATGAAACCAATTCAAACTCGGGCGACCGCTCCTATCCCACTAGGACAATCCCTCGAGTTTCCGAAACGTCGTTGTCGGCGCCCCAAGGCCCTGTTCCTTCCAAAACCTCTTCTCCCAAGAAGCCTGCCTTGAAAGCTCCGTCGGCTGCGAGAACACCACGGATGTCGCGTACGATCAGTTTCGCTCTCCTTGGGTTTGGCGCCACCCCGCCCCGGGCTCAGGCAAGTACGGAGGTCAATGTGGAACATGCCAGGGCGCAACCCACCTCGGGCCAGAAGAAGCCTTCTGTGGGATTTATGGATACCAGAAGCGTGGAGTCATTTAGCGGTTCGGACTCTGCATCCATTTCCACAGTGATCGACACTTCGTTACGACCGGCTTCACCTCACCCGGCTCCACAAAAGTCGGCTATGACGCCAACGAGGCCTATTTCAATCAAGGTGCCTCCGAGGCAACCTTCGGAAGACACAGAGCCGGTAGATCGTACGGTTTTACCAGAGTCCTACTCAACGACAAGTACTGCGATCCCTTTTACCGGGGACGGCCGCCGGGACAGCCGCACGAAGAACGGGCCCAGGTTCGAGCTTACAGTGAGCGGCGGATCTCGTGAATCGTCTATCAAGAGCCCACAGAACAAGGCATTAGCGCCTTGGGTGCGTTCTATCAACCCGTGCAATACTTCAAGGGATGTTCTTCGAGATACTAGTTGGTTCGGGCGCTGGCAACATGCATACCCGCGACCACCCCATGTTGCAGTGGTGAAATGGAAAAGCTTGAAGTCCCCCGCTATTTTGCCATTGACGACCGAAGAATTCCCCACGGCTCAGGAGCTGGGCTCTGATTATCTGCAGACCCCGTACCGCGTCTTTCCAAATGATGACCCGGAAGGTGTCGAAGTACCCAAGACGAGGGGCATCCTGCTGCGAGAGATGATTTCATTGCGATTATCTCATGGGTTCCAGATCGTCATTGGGAAACATGTTGCGGAGGCATCTGGACAACCTGCTCTTGAAACGTTGAACGTCTTCGACACCCGCAGTTTGGAACGGGACGGTGCTACTGTCTTCCTCTCGAAAGGAAACACTATCCACCGGCTGATCTGTGTCGATGGTGGTGAAATCGAGGTAACGCGTTTCACGCACCGGACTTCTTCTACTTTGGCAGCTGGAAAAAGGGACGATTTTTCCCTCTACACGCCCGCGATGCGGACCATCCTGAGCACGGAGTATGAGCTCAAAAACATCAAGCTCGACCCGACGGCCGAGGATTACAATTGGAACTACGCTGACAACTACGTTGCCGGGCACCGCGACTACTTGTTCAACCCAGCGCAGCAGCTGCAATTTTGGCGGGTGCGCTACGTTCTGATCCCAATGCCTCTGCAGGTCAACAACCGACGGCACTTACAGTCGTTCAACGAGGATAATGAGGAAGAGATCCACCTCCTGGGCATCAACCAGCTTACTCACATATGGCAGCGGCACAGGTACGTGCCGCCCGAGGAGAAGAGGTTCGAGTCCTCCAACGAGAAGAAGGACCAGAATCCTCTCAATATCATGTACCAGACACGAAATCCATCCGAGGTTGTTGCGGCCGAGTTAGATCGCATCTTGCTGTCGGACCCAGGCTTGGACAATTCTCCCGCGCAGCTGCTGCCAGAATCCGAGCTGCTGGAGAGGTCGAGCATCAGCCTGTCATCGCTGGCACAGATTATCCAAGGGGAGAAGGGCGTGCGGATGATGGATCGAAGATGGCACTGGCGGTTGCATTACAACTGTTTCATCGGATTCGAGTTCACCACTTGGCTTCTGCAGAATTTCCGCGACATTGACAGCCGGGAAGAAGCGGTTCAATTTGGCAACGAGTTGATGAAGCACGGTCTATTCCAGCACGTGGAGAAGCGACACAATTTTCGAGACGGAAACTACTTCTACCAGATCTCCAGTGAATACCGGGTCGCCAGGCCTGAATCTCGGGGGAGCTGGTTTCCTCAGAAAAAGTCAGACAAAACGGTACCTTCCACAGCAGCGAGTGAGAACCCAAGAGACTCGCCCGTGAACGGTCATTCCAGGTCTGATAGCGTCGAGACACTACCACCGCACATGCCTGCGACCCCATCCAAGTCAAAGAACAAAGCTACGATCATGTTATCCAAGATGATGAAGTATGATGTTGACCCTCGCAAGCGGTCGAACAGACCCGAAGTCATCGATCTCCACTACGACAGGCTACATAATCCGGACAACTGCTTCCACATTGAGCTCAGCTGGATGAATACCACTCCAAAGCTGATCGAGGATACTGTGCTGTCCTGGGCTGCGACCGCCGAGAAGTTTGGACTCAAGCTCGTCCAGGTGCCAATCGCCGAAGGCTGTGCGATCAGCAGGACGCAACCCTTCAGGAAGCCATATCGAGTCTCACTCACAGTTCCACCTCCTCCGGGCCCCGTTCCCACAGTTTTCAATACGGCTACCTTCTCGCAACTGGGCTCATCGGACCGGCATTACTACCACAAAGCTATGCTGCGGAAGTTTGATTTTGTTCTGGACTTTGAAGCGAGATCCGCGTTCCCGGCCGATGTGGAAGTGTCGTACTCCTGGGGCACTCCGGACTACCAGTACCCGCAGTACATTCACCGATCAGGCAGTCTTCTGGTCCAGATCACCGACGAGGGAGACTTTCTGTTTCTGGCCAACCGACTTGTGAGTACACGACTGGCTGCCGCCACTCGAGAAGGATCGCGGTACGAACGGATGGACCGGCCGGAACATCTTCGAGCGCGCGCGTCAACTTACGACCCTCTGGACCGTATCTCTCCACGCCTTTCACCGCTTGTTCGACCCCTCCACGACATTGGCAGCCCCATCAGCCCGCAGGGACAACCAAGCATCGATTCGGCACATCTCTACCGTGCTCCGGAGCACATTCTCAAAAGCTTCGAGGAGTTCTGCAACGATGCGGCTAGACTCGAGCAGTTCTATAGCGTCTCGCACGCGCGTCCCGTCTCGACGAAGGTCGGTCCTGCGCCGACCACGCTCATGGACTCGTCGATACCCACGCTCGAGTTACCCGCGAGCGTCGTCAGCCATCACATCCATCCGCCTGCGTTGATGAGTAGGGCATCGGTCGATGGATCTATACCGTCTATCGACGCGATGACGCGAGCGAGGAACGACAGCTTGAGCTACAAGGGAAGTCCAAAGAGTGGTAGTTTGCGGCCGTTGAATATGACTTGATCTTGTAGATGAATGATACCCTCGCTTTGACATATTGTCTTGATGAATTTACATGACATGGAAACGGCTGTACTTTATCCTAGTTTTCGAGTTACTATTAAAAGTTAGCTCTTATGTTTTATTATCAGCCACTGGTGATACGACTCTAAACACACTCGGATGTCAGGATATACCGAGACTAATCACCAATTTAGCCGTTCAGGCAGAATCTATCACGTCACTGCATGTATTATTGGTGGACATGTCTTGCATCAATAACCGCGTCAATCGGCTTTGCACGGTTAATGACAGCTGATGATAGCTCCTGAGCTAACGACTGCAATTCAGATTGCGATCACTGTTTTTTATGCCCCGGACCTTAGAGCTGCCCCGCCACAAGCCCATAGCAGCCCACCTTGCACCATGCGATACGTCAACAACAGCCAGTCCAAGAGCTGGCACTCGGGGCTCGGCCCGTTTCAAAATGAGGAGAATGAGGAGAACCATGAGAATGAGGATCTGAAATATAATATCGGGTCTTTCCTAGGTTGAAGCTTTCTTCTTCCAACCGTGCAGTGTCTATCACACTGTTCAACCCCGGCTTGAGTGATTTGTTTACATTGTCAAAGATGAAGTTCACAGAGGGAATGTGGCTCCTTAGGGTGAGATGATTTATCCTGCAGTTTTGTTGATGTGGTTAATTGTTTTATACAGGAGGGCATTCGCATCGACTGGATGAGCAATGTTGAACGACTACACATCCAGGATGAGACGGTCGATCTCCTTCTGAACAAGTTCCAGAGACACCGTGGTGACACACTAAACTCGCGTGAGTTACGCTTCTAATTTGCAGTCGCCGACGAGCTGACGAGGCCCTGCCAGCGACTGTTTCTGCGCGGGTTACGTCGCCCCTCGAGGGCATCATCGGAGTCAAACTTGTGCACTGGTAAGTTCATCTGCCTCTGTAGCCACTCGCGAGCTCTAGTTGATATAACCAGGGCTGGCGGACTCGACAAGGGCCCCCATTACAAGCTCAACACCTCTTCAGGCCACACCAAGATCAACCACGTCGCAAAGCAGAAATTGAGCTACACCAGCGGCGACCTTGAGCTCAACATCAACACCGCCCCCAACGAACTCGACTTTGTCTTTTCCAGCGCCGACAAGGGCAAGCTGACCGGCCACTCGTGGCGCTCGATCGGCTACGTCGGCGATCAGACGACCGACAAGTCGCGCTGGGACGACGGCATCTTCTTCGAGCGCCAGGGGTACATGCTCGCCGAGCTGGACCTCGGCGTGGGCGAGAAGCTGTACGGGCTCGGAGAGCGGTTCGGCCCCTTCGTTAAGAACGGGCAGCGCGTCGACATCTGGAATGAGGACGGCGGGACCTCGTCTGAACTGGCGTACAAGAACATCCCCTTTTATATCAGCTCGAAGGGGTACGGTGTGTTTGTGAACAACCCCGGCAAGGTCAGTCTGGAGCTGCAGTCCGAGCGCACCACGCGCGTCAATATCTCCATTCCTGGCGAGGAACTGGAGTATTTTGTTGTGTACGGGAAGACGCCCAAGGAGATTGTGGGCAGGTATACGGCGCTGACGGGGCGGCCGAACTTGGTGCCCTCGTGGAGTTATAATCTCTGGCTTACCACCAGTGCGTTCCCTGTTTTGTAGAATATATGCAACTGCTAATGTCCTCAGGCTTCACGACCAACTACGACGAACAGACCGTCACCGGCTTCCTGGATGGCTTCCGGGACCGCGACATCCCCCTCGGCGTGTTCCACTTTGACTGCTTCTGGATGAAATCCTACCAGTGGTGCGACTTCGAGTTCGATTCCGAGATGTTCCCCGACGCCGGGGGATACCTGGCCCGACTCAAGGAGCGCGGGCTGCGCATCAGCGCCTGGATCAACCCGTACGTGGGCCAAGCGTCCCCCCTCTTCCAGGAGGGCAAGGAGAAGGGCTACTTCATCAAACGCACCGACGGGTCCGTCTGGCAATGGGACCTCTGGCAAGCGGGCATGGCCATCGTCGACTTTACCAACCCAGCCGCCTGCGACTGGTTTGTCGCCCACCTCCGCCGCCTCATGGACCTCGGCGTCGACTCCTTCAAAACCGACTTTGGCGAGCGCATCCCCTACAAAAACATCCAGTACCACGACGGCTCCGACCCTGCCCGCATGCACAACTACTACACCCTCCTCTTCAACAAACTCGTCTACGAAACCATGACCGCCCGCTACGGCCCCGCCAACTCCCTCCTCTTCGCCCGCTCCTCCGCCCCAGGCGGCCAAGCCTACCCCGTCCACTGGGGCGGCGACTGCGAATCCACCTACGAAGCCATGGCCGAGTCCCTCCGCGGCGGCCTCTCCCTCATGCTCTCGGGGTATATCTTCTGGGCCTCGGACATCGGCGGCTTCGAGGGAACCCCACCACCAGCCCTCTACAAGCGCTGGGTCCAGTTCGGGCTTCTATCCTCGCACTCCCGCCTCCACGGGTCCTCCTCCTTCCGCGTCCCCTGGATCTACGGCGAAGACGCCTGCGCCGTCCTCCGCGACTGCGTCAAACGCAAGATCCTCCTCACCCCCTACCTCCTCCTCGAGGCGCTGCGCGGCCACCGCCAAGGCGTTCCGCTAATGAGACCCATGTTCCTCGAGTTCCCCGACGACCTCAACACCTACCCGCTCGACACGCAGTACATGTTCGGCGCGAACCTGCTCGTCGCGCCGGTGTTCTCGGAGGATGGCTCAGTCACCTTCTATGTGCCCCGGACGCCGGAGGACGGGTGCGGCAAGTGGCGCTCGTGGTTCGATCATGCCAAGACGTATGAGTCTGGTCAGTGGTATACTGAGACGCATGGCTTTGATACCCTGCCTATCCTTGTTCGGCCGGGCTCTGTGACGCCTGTCAATCCCAAGTTGAAGGTGCCCGAGGGGGATGCCGTGGACGGGCTGGAGTTGCTGGTTAACGGTACTTTGGCGGCGGATGTGGAGGTCGAGGTGGTGGACCCCAGTAAGACGTACGCGACGCTCAAGACTGTCCGTGTCTCGCCCAGTGGCGATGCGGTGACTGTTGACGATGCGAATATCAAGGTGGTCTGCATTCACAAATAGTTTGAACGTCACTACGGAGCTTCTTGCATAGAATCACGATCTAAAAATGTGTCTTACGTACTATTCCGTTAAGCAGATACGGAAGATTTAATGTATTTGTTTCAAATTATCTCTAGAAAGAAACTTAGGCGACATCAGCAGGCACAGCTCACATCATATTGATGGTAAGTGTACCTGATGTGCGCAGAATATCATAGATCATACATGAATTGAAAGAAAACACTCAACACAGGGGTATCATAACAATCTTCAAGCTGCAGAAACAGAGAAAGTACCACCCGCACGCTCGATGAGACTGGTGCTCGACGTATCATCATCTGATAACCGTCAACGAATGTAGAAAGTTAGAGGTCAAAGGTAAACGCAAGAATATGCAAAATCGCTGCAAGAACGGGATAGAAAGATCACCAAGCCTCCTCAACTTCAAGTAGCCACTTGCGAATACCTTCTCTCAGGGTATTGTCCGCTCCTGCCAATGAGCGTCTGCGCTCTCTGTCGGCAAGACCTACTTCCCCGTCGACGTCCTCGCGGCAATGCTCGGCTGTCACACTGCGGACCACTTCTTCGAGAGCACCAAGAACCATCTTGCGGCACTCCGCACGGGGAACCTCAATAGACGGAACCTCGTCCCGAGAGACAGTATCAGAAGTGTTTTTATCTTCGCCCCTCCGACCACGCGACGGCGACTGGGCTCTCGAGTGCGCCAACGATGACTGACCACTCTGTGCGAGAACACGCTCGAGCGCATCAACAAGTGTACCATCCAAATCCATGACAGGCTCCTCAACAAATCGCTCTTCGTATTCAGGGGCATCAAAGGCTTCTGCCACGGAGTTCGCAGACGTCCTGCTAGAAGCGGATGTATTGGAGAAAAAGCTTGTAAGCTGTGACGCAGATGTGGGATGACCAAACAGATGGCGAGGGGTTCCCGGTTGAGAGGCAGCTCCAGGTGTAGATGGACTCCTGCAAGAGCCACTCCCGACAACTTTACGCCTCAGACGAAGTCGCTTGACTGTGAAGTTTCTGGTATCTGCAATCAAGGTTGTTGCGACATCCACCCACTTTCCTTGTCCTTCAGGTTCAAAGGGAAAAGCGGAACTAGGAGTAGGTTCGGCTTGCATTGCGCGCTTGATGTCGGCTTCTACGCCGGCATAAGGTCGCACGCCCTGAAGCAAAAAGTCGTCGTGGAAATTCTTCAGCCATCCAGCAACATTCACGCTGGGTCCGTCGTTGTCCTTGGGGCCGCCACAGTGAAATCCGGAATTGCTGCTGTGTGTGGACGCAAGAGCATCAACACTGGTGACCGACGTCCGCGTCTTCTTCGGGGACGCTATGGTCGAATCGCCTGACGACGAAAGGGAAAGAAACCCCGGAAGTGGAAGTTCCACGTCCACAATTCCATCATCTCCCCGCACAGACAGTTTCAAGGAAGATTCTCTGTTCTGCTCCGGCACGGACGACGGCTCTGGAGTATTTTCTTCCAGCCCTTGCTGACTTGAGGATCGAGGAATCGTGATAGTGCCACTCGTAGTAGTCTCTGAGACTTCTCCGGGTGTCTCGCCTGAAACTTCTTTCACCATCTGAGTCAGCGTTGGAGGGCTTCGCTTAGAGGGCCCGACATAAGTAGAAACGGAACGCTTTCGAGGTTCGGCAACTGGGACGGCGTCACTGCCTTCGGCTGTGGACGACTCCTGGCGCGAGTTCCACAAACCGGAGAAGAGATTTCCCCATCGGCCACCGTTGGAAGGGACACTGCTGTTAGCACTGACGGCTGAACTCTCGCTTCTTTGCAAGTTACGTAGCAGATTTTCCGACGCGAGACTGTCATTGACGCCCGGCGCAGCTGGGTCTGGATCCTCTCGGTCACGCCGGGTCTGCCGCGACGCAAAATGGGGAACAGGAACAGCGCTGCTGGGAGTTGCTGTGGAGGTTGTCGCTACACAGGTGTTTTTATTGCGTGGGTCTCTATGCATGGGAACACCCAATGTCCGAATAGAGCGAGCATCAGAGCCTCTGCGAGGCGGACCAAGCTCAGGAAGCGACGTGTCGATGTCGTCCGTCGATCGATGGGCTGTCTCATTAGAAGAGGCACTAACGGACCGCTGGTGATTGTCACTATCGGCCAAACGCTGCGCACGTGATCGCCGCTCAATGGCCCTGCGCAAGGGCTCCTGTCTCAGAACAGGCACAGTCGGTGGGCTTTGCGAAACGGCACGTGCTGACGCCGAGGTGCCTGGACGAAGCGGCGACGGAAGTGGCTCAAAGCGTTGCTTGGCCGGAAGAAAAGCCGATAGTAAGAATATAAGCCGCCGGGCCGTCATCTTGTCAGGCGAAATGATAACGGTTCTGTGAGCAAGGACCGGGTCTGCGTCCTGTTGAGCCTTTTGCTGGAGATAATGCCGCCGGCGGTACCAGTCGGGGCCCAGTGTACTCAGCCATTCTGTATGGTTTCCCAAAAACGCGGTGATCAGCACCAAGAAGAAAAAGCTATGCTCTTTGTCCCCAAGATTGCGCACAATTGAGCGTCCCTCTTCACGCCAAACACCCCAGCGGCTCTGGCCAGTCACGACGTGCGGAGTCTGAAGAGCAACACTAATACGACGGGCGCTGCGGAAAGCCTCGTCCTTCAACTTTGAATTCACGGCCAGTATGTTCGCCGGCAGATGCACAATCGTCTGGTTTGTACGTTGCATGTTTGGAGGCTTTGCGGGCTTCGGATTCGCTCCCAATGAGTCCACTTTCTTCAACAGAAACAAGATCTCCTTCCGAGAAAGTCGCTCCAAATGTGACAGGGTGCGGTTGATCACATCCCAGTGGTCCACCAACAGATCAATCCGCTCATCCAAGCTTGCCGGTGGAGATGCAAGCGACAGGCTATCATCCAGGAAACCGCCGCGCCAGCGATGATCCGAGTCCAACGAGCACGACATCCCCGCCTTGGGTGAGTCGGTGGCTTGCGTATTGAAGCGCGAACCGGGCCGTCCCGTATTACGAGAGAGAAGCGGAATTTGGATCGTAATCGCCACCGCATACATCGGAGTTTTCTTCTCCTTGATCTTTTTACGCTTGGTAACATCGGGGAAGGGGAACCCGTTTTCCGGTAGCGACTCCTGGTACATCGAAGTCGGGTAGTCGGGCCGATCAGACGTGTCACCTGTCTCCGGCAAGTTTACACTGAACATCCGCGTCAGTAGAATGGTGACTTTGGATGGCGGCTTGGGTTCGGAGCCCCGCGATGTACCCATGAAACCAGAGGAACTTCCCGTAGTATACGCCCGTGAGAGCGAGTTGCGGGTTGCTGGCGATTCACTTGAAGTTCTACCCGAATCCTCATCTGCAGAGATGATATGCATCTTGGTTGAAGAGCCCCGATAGCTAAACGCACTGCTGCCAAATATGCAGTTCAACAGACCAGAGTCATTGTTCTCGGCCGGATGACGTGAGCGGCCTGCTTCATTCACCCCACCTGCAGGCGACAATGTAGAGCTGCGGCCTCGAGCGCGGACAAAAGCACCGGAACCCATGGGCGGCGATCTGCGGGCATCCGCGGCGACAGAAAACGGGCTCGGATCGGCGGCCGACGAAGGAGGGAGGTATCCACGCCGAGGAGCCCGCGAGAGACTGGAAAGTGTGCGAACATGTCTCGTACCAGAATTGTCGAGCACGTACGGTTCTGAATCGAGAGGGCTTGACGTCACGTCGGACGAGTTCGTGCGAGTATCTAACAACACACACGCATCCCTGTCTCCAAGCGCGTTCTGTGCAATTATCACCCGGAAGTCCTTGACGGGATCTAGTTCCACGCCACCTCGATCATCGTAGGCACCGGCAGCATACGCATTCGGTGAATTGAATGTGCTATGTAACGGATAGGCATGGGTATTTGACCGTCGTAGCAGGCTCGCATCGGGGAAAAGGAGGCCAGACGTGTGTTCTTCTTCTGTCACGGATTCCAGCTGGGTAGCATTTCTATTCGAGTACGCGGCCGGGTTCAATGTTGACGCCGCACTGCTCAACAGACGGCCCAACATGATGATTCTAACTAGTGACGAGTGATCAGGTATGCAACAGTTAGTAAAGAAGTGGCAGTACAACGCCAGGCCCTAATGTTCACGGCACACACGGCACAGAACAAGCCACGGAATTGTCGACGTGAGATTGAATATAACAGGTAACCAACAGCCAGACTGATAACCTAGACTGAGCTGCCGTTCCCCAATACCCAACCCTACCGATGAAAAACCATGATCAACCCAGGTTGACCGAGGTGCAATTGTGTTCCTTCAGAATCGACCAGAAAGGAAAGACACCACCTGAACAGTTTATCGTCCAGTGCGGGGGATGTTCACTTCTGGCAATCGAGAGATCGTGCACACACCAGAACTGACTAGGTATGAGAAAGGAACAATCTCATCACCAAGAAAGATAAAGCATCAACTGAAGGGGAAAGATGATGAATTGAGTCTGGAGAAGCAAAGAACGGGGGGCGGGGAGAGTAGATAGGTAGTGAGAGAGTGAGACGCCGGGAGATGGACGAAAGGGCGGTGAGCAATGGAATCCGTCACCACCACACAGAAACAAGTGAAAGAGTGAGATTCTCCGTATTATCCACACATGATCTCAGCCTCATCTCATTCTGATGCCGATCGCATGCAGCTCATTGGCAGCTTGCATACTTCCCTTCTGTCAGATATACCAGGGTGGACATCGACATACATATCCAGTAATGATGCTGCAGGCGGGGTAGGACGAACACCTCATCCTGCATGGGCCAGGTTACTTCTTCGAGTCATTCAGCAGCGAATAGGGCTATAGGAGATTACAGGCAGCCGAGAATGTGCTGAATATCTCATATTACTAAAAGTTTGTCCCGGTGAATGACTGCCGTTATAGAAAAGGTATCTAGGGGAAACAGGATGTATGATGGATTGTCAACAAAGATGGAGAATGCTTTTATTACACCTGCAAAGATGATGTACAATACCGTGGTATATATCCTG